ATATATATATGTGAGTTAAATTAATGTCAGAGGGGAAGGAAATTGTCACAAATAAAATTTCAGAGTTGTACCCTGGCGAGTCGAGGCATATTAGGGTGATAATTATGTTTCTAGGATTTTTGGACTGGCCTATTTTGCATCAAATTTTGGCTTAATAAGGCTCTTCGCTAAAATCTGGAAATGAAAATGCTCTATACTTCTACCAGGCTCCTCCTTCAAAGCCTGTCTCTGCTACATGATTTAAGCTACTTTGTTTTGAAGCTTTGCACTGGCCAAGAAATTTTCCCCTGCTTAGAAGATTTCTCTGTTAATGACTTGCCACCACAATCTGGGCCCTTGAGTTCAAGCAAGCATCTCTCTAGACACTGAAAATACATCCATAAATGTTTTTTCAGAGTAAAAAATTACTTTCAGATAACAATTCTGATATCTTATTTTTTGATTGCTTGTTTTCTTTTAGAACAACAACATTCAAGAGATGCATGAAGATACTTTCTGCAAAATGAGAGATTTTACTTATGTGCGTAGGGCCCTCGAAGACATCAGACTGGATGGTAATCCCATCAACCTGAGCAAAACACCTCATGCATACATGTGTCTACCCCGTTTGCCAGTTGGCAACCTCATCTAAGCTTTGACAGCAGCCAAGACTGTCATTTGCTGTAAGAATCTCTAAAGACAAATCATTAACTCACTGCTACATTAACCTCGATGAAATTTTACAAATATCATTGATTTGAGAAATATTTCTGTTAATGTTGGAATTGATTACTGAGATACTGAGATTATGAAATGCTAAAAGACAAATCCATTATCTACCCAACTGCAAGTTATTTAGCAATATCAAGAAAAATACTTTACTACAAAAACACTGCAAATACCAAATTTTTTGCTGAATTGTTCAGACCTAATGTATGAATTCTAAATTTAAATAATTTTACATATTAAAGTCTAACTATTACATGGTAACTGAAGAAATAAAAATAAAATATGTGTACACAAATCATTATTTATTGGGTTTTGTTTTAATTAAATATTATTTTCGCAGAGATACATCCATTTCTCTACTTCTTTCCTTAAAGGTTCCTTCATTTTGGAAAAGTACCAGCAATATTCCAAAAAACATGCCTTCTTCAGAAAAGAGAATCTTTCCTTGAATCAATAATGAAATATAGGGCTCAAATCTCAAGCATCAAATCTCAAATATCTATCTATGCTTTTTTCAACAATAATTTAACTTTGTAATGCTGATGAGACTCAAAGCTGTTTTCTGCATCTTTGTTAAACTTGCCTGACAGACTATGTGGTAATAAAAATCTCACATAATATAGCCTATTTGAGAAATATTATATTTTATTCTGCATAGAAAATGAAAACAACCTCCCTTTGTCCTATTTACATACATAAAATTTTGCAGTTCAATACACTAAGGACCAGGATTCAGAGACCAAGTCACAAATCACCTTGGGGAGCTCAATATCCAATTACTTGATTCACAAAACATCTCTACTTTATTGTTTAGCAGACTTTCCAGGTAAAGATTAAAAAATTTCCTTAGTAGAATAGTTTGAACAACTCTTCTCCTCTAGTGGAGATTTAATACATTTCTCTAGAGAGAAAACCCCCAGGAAAGATCCACTAGATACAACATACGTATCTAGTGTTCTGTGGTCACAAGCAGCAAATAAGGCCTGCACATATTCAGTGATAAACATTTGATGAAAGACTTTGGCAAAAAAAAAAAAAAATCCCTTTGAACATAACAAATCAACCTAGAAAATCTGGTATTTGTTCAATATCTAAGTTCCCTTTCATTCAGCTGAACATATATGCTCACTTAAAATGTAAATGATAAATTTCTGTTGGGCCAGACAATGGAAACTGTTAACAGAGACCTCACTCTTCACTCTCACTGCCACTTTCTAGAAGTGAGCACACATAGAACATCAGACAGACTAAAGTCATCATGTTTTGAGCTGGGATGAAGGAGATGAGGTAAGGACAGGATATGGAGTGATAGGATGAAGCAAGAGAGGAAGTAAACAGTGTTGAGAGCAGAGACAGGTCATTCTTGTTCTCTCTTGTCTTGCTGAAAGGCAGAGGGAGAGCAGCAAAATTCCAAAAGCCTTAGACCCTAGCTTCATTTAGTTTTATTTTCAAGCAATTCTAGCCTTTCTTTTCCATCCACAGGCCACCTCCACACCGTCATCAGTTCATTATTTTCCGAGCAGAATGTGTGCTCTGGGAAAGATAAAAATTCAAAGGTTGAGGGGGAGGTGAGGGAGAGCACTAAAGCCCCTTCCACAGTTGCTGCAGTAGGTTGAATCCTCCCCTGAGCTCTTGTACAGAGGTCAAGCTCCAAGCCATGGTGATGGATTTGGTACCCATACCACATCTGTTTCAGGGAAGATGCATTCCTGTTGGAGATGGCAAACCTTGTTAATCATTAAGAGTATGGTGCACCTCAACTATACAAAGGAATATGGATGTTCAGATGTCTGGTCCCCAAACATATTCTACGGTGCAAATCTGCAATGTCAAGATTATTTTGCAAGATACTCTCAGATCAAGGGCAGTGAGGAAAGGGTATACTGAAAATAAAGAACAACTGTTGTGCTCTAGAAATCAAGAAATACTAAAGGGAATATAATCTCTCTAAACCTTGCCTTGGAAGAAATCTCCAAAATCCCAGACCTGAGCTCCCTCTCTTGTATAGTGGTCAACTGTACTAATCTAATGCAGACCTTATTGAGTTGTGAAAATCTAGCCAGGGAGTTCACAGGTTTTGAGCATATATTTTCCATTTTTTGTGTGTGTTTGTGTGTTATTTCCCTTACTACATCAGAGTGTTATCAGAGGTAATACAGCTGCTGCTCTTCCCACTTCAGATAACCATTCAGAGGTTAGAAGCAACAATGCAAGGTCACAAGTTTGAATCCTGTATGGGCCAATCTGCTACAGCTTTCTACTGCTCCTGCCCAGACACATACCAAAAGCCATGGAAGGGAACAGAGTCCTTTCCATTCAGGTGGAAATTTCTGCTACTTGGCCTCTTCTGGGAATACAATTCTTAGAAAAGCTCCTGTTTGTGAATCACAAAAGTAAAACCAGTGCTAATTTTAAAAGAAAAGATTGCTATTACATTTCATATGTTTTATCTTCGGGGCAGCAGTTGTGTGCTTGAAATTTTTTAAGAATGCCTGCAAGGACTATCACAGGAGAAATTAAGAACTTATATAAATTTTCTTGGCCTGGGGAATAGTGCTGGGAGAGCATAAGGTATCTGAAACAGCAGAGCTATCTTACCCTTGAGATCTTCTTGGTAAATCCTGTTAAGTTAGGCATTTTGGAGTGATGCAGCTGTTGCTGCTGCTGGGCTCTGGAGATGGGAAGCATACAGGGTTACCTCAGCAGCATGATCCATTGACCAGTACAAATATTCCTTCAGCCACAGACTCAGTTTGGGAGACCCATGGGAATCTCAACCATGTAATTACTTTAAGTTACAGGGAGTTGATGTTAAATGTCTAGTAAAAGATCTAAAGATCTCACCTGAAAGTAAATCCATGAAGACATGTTCTGCAGAAAGGCTGAAGCTATCAGCGCTCAACAGGGCAATGTTTACAAGTAATGGCATTAAATCAAACTCATAATTGTGAGGATTAAGCTACATGTCTAATAGACTTTCCTTGATGCAATGAAAATGAAGTGGCAATGCAGTTTGAAAGAGGTTGTGTTAGCTTAGTCGGTATGGCTCTCTAGTAAGCACTTTTGAGACCTCACTCAAAACTGATCACAGATAAGGGAGCATTATTAGCTAAATAGGCTGCTAGAGAAATCTTTGATTTCAGAGGATTCTCAAAATGCTACAACCTGACCAAGAGACAAAGAATGACTACAAAACCTGCTATAGTACACATCATAAGCCAGAAAGCTTTCCAAAAAGTCATCATTAATGAAAGCACCGATCTGCCACTTCTTACCTGGAGTTTGGGATCACAGACTGAACCTGGGAAAACATCTAGGGCCACTTTCAGCAAGAAAAGACTGTGAACTTTCCCCTTTTTTATTTTTTTTTTCAGCTTCTCTATGGAGCTGGGCTCAGAACTGTCAATATTCATCAGCAAAGTCTGTCACTATCTCTAGAAAAAAAGGCCTTAGGCAGATTTTGTTTCACTAATGTACAGCATCAACTAATCAATTCATGGTCCTCTACTGCCATCGTGCGTTGATAAATTGTGACACTTGAAATCATTCCAAAGCCTGACACTAAGGGTAGATGAGACTTGCCTTTACTTGTTTGGTAAACGACCCTATGCACCTTTTTTTTTTTCCTTTCATCTTTCACGAAAGCTGAAGGAATGGAAAAGGCTTTGATGACAAAAATAAAGGAACATTATGTGAATTTTTGTTTGTTTGTTTTTTGTTGATGGGGTTTGGTTGGCTTTGGTATTTTGTTTGATGTTTTTTAATCAACCTAGAATATAAAATTTTTTAAAAAAATATAAAAGAGAAAATGTCCTTTTTGTATAGCATATTGCAAAGAAGTATTTTATATTTTTTTAATTCTATTTTTCTTATTTTGTATTTAAATAAGTAGACTATAAATACTATCAGAAGAATTTATGTTGCAGGGCATGATACTATACAGATGCTCTAATCCTTCAGTACAAAAACTCAGAGTCTTTGGTATCTCTCAGAAAAAAGATAAGCAGAATTTCTGACCTAAATGTGGATATGCATCACTTACTATGAAACAATAAGCCTGGTCTGACGGTTTCAGTGGATGGATGGAGAGCCTAAAACAATAAATAACCACCTATTCCCAGCAACACAAAATGTTCAAACTTCCAAAGACAAACACAACCCCAAAAATTCCATGCTTATCTTTGTGTGGTGAGAATGAGGACACTTTCTTCTTCAACCTAGCTGTCATCTATAAGGTTTTTCTCTCACCATTTAAGTGAATCTAAGTGCATTTCTCTCAACATTTTAAAAAATAAAAAAGTTTTTATTTTATTTGTCCCCATCCCTGGCAGTGTTCAAGGCCATGTTGGGGCTTTTGAGAAGCCTGGTCTAGTGGGAGATATCCCTGCCCATGGCAGGGAGGTTGGAACTACATGATTTTTAAGATCCCTTCCAGGCCAAATCATTCTGTGATTCTGTGATTTATTAGTTTTTATTCTGTATCACAAAAAGCCAAAGAGAGAGATGCTACAAATGGAGTTATGTAAATATACTGTGTATACAAAATTAATCTTGAGATAAGCCTGGTGTCTATCATTCTACCTGAAATACACCTTCCACACTGAAAAAGTAGGAATTCATTTCAGCAGCTGACATAAATGGCTGGATGCAGGATTTTGCGTCAGGAGGGCGAGAAAGGCTTTCTGTGGGTGCTGATTTTCTGTGCCAGCTCGTGACAGCTCCTTAGTCCCTCCACACCCTCCTTCACCAGGTGCCCAGGACAGCTTTCTCTCAGTCCCACGAGGTGTTTGGAGGGAAGCACAGACCAGGGCTGGCGATGCTATCAGGGCCAGAGATCGGATTTGTTTCAGCGAGGCCTGGCCTGGGCCTGCAGGGCCCTCACGGCGGGGAGCCCCCTACTGACTGAGGGGCTGTGCCCTTGTC